TAATTTTTTCAGGTAAAATATTAGATATATGGGACATCATTTTACCATTTACAGAGTTGAGCTAGCTCATCCCGTTTGGGAGATATTGCAAATTCAGACTGGAACAAAGATAATGGCCGCCTATATAATATTGGTTCGGGTTTAACAAGAAAACGGGTTAAGAAGTGAGAGACGTTCGATGGCGTGTCGACGCCATAGACGACGAAGACGCTCTGAAGGTACACGGATAGTGAGATGACTGCTAACGCCTGACAGTCACTTGAGAAAGAAAGAGAAAGAGCGAGAAGCGGTCAGGAGTGCCATTTCCTGACATTCCCCCTGTTCTAGGCCGGCGTCCACCGGTGCGGATGAAGCAGAAGGTGCGGAAGTCTTGAGGAGACAGGTTGTCGATGTCATTCGTAGGCGACGATTGCAAACAACGGTATTTCGTGTTTTCTATCGATTATACGTGACAAGTGACGAACCCGTAGAGTTAATGCGAAGCGATCGGCGACTGAGTCCCGAGACGTGCATTTGAACGATGAGATACACGATGTGTCGTCATTGATGTCCAGACGATGGCCAGCGTACGGCTCGGCGCTTTGCTGCAAACCACGAGAAACAATAGACATCAATGCGATGACGATGGCAAAGGAGAGTTTTTGAAAAAATGTGCGGCGATTAGTTTATGATAAGTCTTCGATACGATAGCACACATGACGATAGAAGTCCCGCCGTTAAGGGATGACCGGGCTCTTATGAGCTCAACGGTTATCGCATATAAGACGTTGACTTGCGGTGAATGGAAACACTTGGCGACTAGCGATGTCTAGGACGTGACGAGCGGGCGCTGCAAACCACGGTAGACGCGTAGACAACAATACGTTGATTGCGGAGGTGATACAATGTGTGTACGAGCGTTGGCGGCACAAGGGCCCCACGACGTGCTGTACGTAATGTGACGAATGTGTACTGAAGAGAATTCGTCATTCGAGATTCGCATGAAATTTATACACACGTTATCTAGCTATCGTTTGAGATAGTGATTAGTGATTTACCGCCACACACTGTCTAGTTCCAGACCTAAAACTAACATCAAACATTTCTCGTAATGCTTTTCTATACGGGTTGTTGGGGACGGTACTGATTTAGGTCTGGAACTAGACAGTGTGTGGCGGTAAATCACTAATCACTATCTCAAACGATAGCTAGATAACGTGTGTATAAATTTCATGCCATAAACGGCCATGATAATCACTGGCCAGTGCTAGCGGGTCCCCGAACCAACCGATGCATTCACTTTAACGCTATTTACGGTGCGGCTGCAATGGCCACTAGTGGTCAAAATTAACCAAATCTTTTTTGGAAACTTTAGCCAACCATCGGATCTACATTTTGGTTAAATATTTTTAAAAATCGGTAATTTTTAATTATGATTATTATGTTTATTAACTTTTGGATCAATAATTTTGTTACCACTTTACATTGAAATCAATGGAAAACTAGTGGATCGATAATAAAAGTTTGTAGTGTATATTAGTTAGGTTAAGTTAAATAAACAACATTTTATAATGGATTTCAATGGGAAAAATCACAACTTTGGTCCCGATTATTATATTGAATAAAGTGTTTCCGCACTTTTATTTTAATCAATAATTACTTCGTAATGCATAAATCAATGATTAGAACACAAATCAAGTCATTCTAAGAATAGCCCATAAAATAAAAAAAGGTCATTTGTTTTTAAAACATTTTAATTTTTCCCCCACAGTAAGTAAAAATACAAGTACACCTTATCCTCGATTTAGGGAGACTCGATATAAAAATAATTCGATTTAAGAGAGGGTCTTTTGCTTCACCGACCGGTCCTATGAGAGGTTAACATTATGGCACTCGATATAAGAAAAATTCGATTTAAGCAAAACTCGATATAAGAGACATACTTTACTACACGCACAGCACAGCTGCACTCTATTTAAGCAAATTTTATTTCAAAAACAGTAAATGAAAACGAGTTTTGTTTAGAAGTGTTGATTAAAAGCAGTAGATAAAAACACGTTTTGCATAAAAGTGTAGACTATTTTCATACAAACACATTTTGCCTTAAAAATGGCTGACAAAACGTCTCGAAATAGGTTTTCATTAAAGACTAAGTATAAAGTGATCAAATTAGTTGACAAAAAGTGTCCAAATTAAGAGATAATTAAACAATTTAATGCTAAAGGTTTCAAGATATCAAACATTTATAAATTATGTGCCCAAATAGATACCATTATTAGGAAATTTATGTCAAACACTACTGGCTCGGAAATGAGTTTTAAATTAATCAATAAATTAGAGAATGAAATCTATTCTAGCAGACAAAAGTGTTTAAAACAAACTGCTGATTACTGATTATATAAATTAAATATAACTTTATCTAATAAAACACGAATTTAATCCTATATTTGCTGTTTTTAATTGAATTTATATAAGACTAGATATAAGGAGAATTCTATTTAAGAGACACATTTCTGTTTCACTAACCATTTCCCTAAATCGAGGATAAGGTGTATAATACAAGGATTTTTGTATTATACTTGTATAATACAAAGCGCCAAACTTTTTTTGTATTTTCTAACCCTAATTGCGAGACAAGAAATGCGAGAAATTTGAAAAGTTTTTAATTATTGAAAATTTAAATTTGAATTACAATTGAAATTCGGTTGACTTTTGCGAAGAGTTTGTGTGAAATTTGAATCGAGTTGTGATTACTTGTGACCAAAACAATGCCAATAGTGTCGGAACAGATGAAGAAGAGCCAGAAGAAGGCTGAGAGGGACGAGAAGAAGAAGAAGGAAGAGGCGGAACACAAGGCCCGCGAAGAACTGTGCGTGAAATTAGGGCTTATTTCATGTCAAACATACTATTATGCCGTTATCTAAAATTTCTAGCTTTAAATAACTTATATATTTATTTATTTTAAAATATATTTTGCATTATAAAATAATTTGAAGCATGATTTTTAAAAAAAATAACAAAAGGCTTTCGAGATTAAACAAAAATGAAAATTTTTAATGCTATTATAAAATCGAGATTTAATTATATATTACATACACAGTGTGTGTAAACAATGGGTTTCCGAGAAATATTATGTTGAAACTAATTGAAAGTCTTATTCGTGTTGAAAGTAAGCGAAAAAAAATAACATTTCAGAGAAAGCTTTAAACAAATAGATGTGGTTTTGAAGTCAATTATAAAATGCAAAAAGTTATTTAACATATTAAATGCAATCTCTCTCTCTCTCTCTCTCTCTCTCTCTCTCTCTCTGTTTATATAATTGTGAACATTATTTATAGTATTATTTGTGATAAAATTGATGAGACAAATACCTTTCACAGTCGCCGTACGCGTACAGTTGTATAGCAATGCCAATTCTCCAAAGGCCTATAAATCAAGCATTTTTATTACACATATGCATATTCAATCACCGCAGCACCATGCACACTTTGCCTATTTTATGCTAATATTATATTATCCATCAAAAAGATTTATTTACACAGAATTAAACGGAAAAGTTTATGGAAAAAGTATACATAAATATTCAATACATGTTTGAAAAATTGATTAATTAATGCAAATAAAACTCCAAAAATTTCTGATAGATAACCCTTTGACACAGAATACATGGCTTTGTAGCAGTAGTGTGACCAGCGGTACATACCTTTCCCGGTCCCAGCTGATTGACCAGGGTGTTTTTATTGTCAATGATCTCGCAATGGCCATAAGCTATAACATAGAGATGCGATCCATAGGTTCCCTGTTTGCAAATGAGACAATTCCTGGAGAACTCCTTCTCATACATGGCGTCGACAATGAGTTTGAGTTGATGTGTGTCCAGAAAGTGGCGGAGGAATGAGTTGTCCAGAAGTGCCTCTTTAATCAGTTGTTTGGATCGATTATCTTTGGACACCTTCTGGACGGCGGCCACCGAAGCGGACGCCGACAAACACTCGCCACTGACGCCGCACTTCTTCGTGGGTCCGGCGGCGGGTCCTACGGCTGTGACCACAGACCCGATCGACGATTTGGCCGAGTTTTTGATGGCCATCGATGTCTGTTCCAACACACTCTTCATTTTGTGTATCTCGCGGTGCAGTTTCAACAGCTGCTGATCCCTGTCGTAGAGCTGAAGTTTGGTCGCCCGTAACTCGTCCTTCAATTGTGTCAACTCGTCTTCAGTTGTCGTATATATTGTGGTAATAAATGAATAAAAATAAATGTATAGAAAAATAAATATATATTTTTTTGGTAATAAATTATCGCAAAAATGGTTTTTTCTTTAGCGAAATAACAAGAAAACAATTTATCGTTTAATTTTATGGCAGAAAAGAGAGATTTATGTGAATATAACCGACATATCAATCAAAACCAAACGCCGATTCCTATTGTTTTGCCAGACTTTTCAACGATTTTCTTAAAGTATTTGTATAAATACTCATATGAATAGCAAAACACAGTATTAGATAAAACACACAACGAATATATATAACAATAAAAAATAATTAAACGAATAAAAGCCTTAAAATTCTGTGCAAAAAGAAATTGAATTTGTTGTAAAATACAAAATTATATTTATTTATATTTATTATACTATTATTTTTCAGTGAATCGTCTCTATTAAAGTCAATCACATGCACGCACATAGCCTTAACCTTAATGCCCTTGGTCATTCATATTGACTATCCTATTAGATTAATCTAGGAGCTGGACAGCATAATAAATATAAATATCAAGTTATGACACTTGTTATATAAACTTATAAGAAATAAGCTTAATTTTATATTAAACACCTGAATGCTTTGAACGCTAGATATAGGCTCCGGGCACTAGTTTTTGTTGTATATCCATAAAATAAATCAATAAATATTGTATATTTATACATCTTATATAAGATTATTATTATTTTAGTTACATATTTACTCTGTTCAATACATGTGTTAATATTGAATGTATAAATATATACACTACCAACTTTTATTATCGATCCACTAGTTTACCATTGATTTCAATGTAAAGTGGTAACAAAATTATTGATCCAAAAGTTAATAAACATAATAATCATAATTAAAAATTACCGATTTTTAAAAATATTTAACCAAAATGTAGATCCGATGGTTGGCTAAAGTTTCCAAAAAAGATTTGGTTAATTTTGACNCCGATTTTTAAAAATATTTAACCAAAATGTAGATCCGATGGTTGGCTAAAGTTTCCAAAAAAGATTTGGTTAATTTTGACTACTAGTGGCCATTGCAGCCGCACCGTAAATAGCGTTAAAGTGAATGCATCGGTTGGTTCGGGGACCCGCTAGCACTGGCCAGTGATTATCATCAAAGTCTATGGCATGAAATTTATACACACGTTATCTAGCTATCGTTTGAGATAGTGATTAGTGATTTATCACCACACACTGTCTAGTTTCAGACCTAAAACCAACATCAAACATTTATCGTAATGCTTTTCTATACGGGTTGTTGGGGACGGTACTAATTTAGGTCTGAAACTAGACAGTGTGTGGTGGTAAATCACTAATCACTATCTCAAACGATAGCTAGATAACGTGTGTATAAATTTCATGCCATAAACATCCATGATAATCACTGGCCAGTGCTAGCGGGTCCCCGAACCAACCGATGCATTCACTTTAACGCTATTTACGGTGCGGCTGCAATGGCCACTAGTGTCACACACTGTCTAGTTCCAGACCTAAAACTAACATCAAACATTTCTCGTAATGCTTTTCTATACGGGTTGTTGGGGACGGTACTGTTTTAGGTCTGGAACTAGACAGTGTGTGGCAATAAATCACTAATCACTATCTCAAACGATAGCTAGATAACGTGTGTATAAATTTCATGCCATAAACGGCCATGATAATCACTGGCCAGTGCTAGCGGGGCCCCGAACCAACCGATGCATTCACTTTAACGCTATTTACGGTGCGGCTGCAATGGCCACTAGTAAGCAAAATTAACCAAATCTTTTTTGGAAACTTTAGCCAACCATCGGATCTACATTTTTATTAAATATTTTTAAAAATCGGTAACTTTTAATTATGATTATTATGTTTACTAACTTTTGGATCAATAATTTTGTTACCACTTTACATTGAAATCAATGGAAAACTAGTGGATCGATAATAAAAGTTTGTAGTGTATATCTCAATAACTGTTAATTATTAATGTATATTGATTCCATTTGATTCTTGTTATATTAAATCTATTCAAACAAAACTCATTTCAAACCAAATTGACAATAAGTAGATATATTGTGTCTAATTTATACAATTGCATATTTATTATAAAAATAAACACTTATGAGTTGTTTATGTATTATTTCAATTTCTTAAGAATATCTTTGCATTAATGTTAATAATCTGCTTATGATATATTTAAGTAATAATATTTTACTATTTAAGTAATAATATTTTACTTAAATAATATTTTTATAAAGAAAGATAGCCACTCATAATGCTAACGCTGGCCCCGCTCGCCTGGTCACCATTTAATATGGGAACGATAGACCATAGTTAGGGATCTTTGAAAATGTTGTCCATATGTCCCTAAGACATCGGGTTC